TGCTGTTTGGGGTGAACAGAACGCGGACGAACGAGTGTACCGGAAACGTGAGAAAAATCAAAACCAAAACGCAATAGAAATCGATTGTTCGTTGACGTCGTTTTTATCGCGCAAACGCCTAGGACGCACATCGGTTGTTCCATAGAGTAATAATAATTCGGTTATTCAAAAATCGCCAATCCCGAGCAGGTTGGCGAGTGCGGAGCTAAGGGTCAGCGACGGATACGCACAGAGCACGCGACAAATGGCGCGTAAATATTATTATTGTTATTTCCCGTTTTGTTATGGAACATGCGACGGCGGAGTGCCCTAGCCGCGATGTCAAGCCCATACGACCCTTCATCTTCATTTGCATCCACCCAACGCGCGCGTACACTACTCGCCCAACCGCTGCCAAGTTCGTCGTGTACAAATTCAACATTCTTAATTATAAGTTACATATTCAATTAGTCATTAAAATAAATAATAGTATCCGGGTTGAACTGGCACCCACCATACCTACGCCTTTGGGTAAAATTAGTTAAATTTTGGAGAGTATACTTAAGACCAAACTTTAGAAACTGGTATAATCAATAAATTACTTATATTTATTGTAACTGCAAAAATAATAATCGAATATGTACTATGTATGGTTTAGTAAATTAGCAATGGACGTTTTTAAAATTATTTGTAACATTAAATTTGATTACATTTATAACATGATTAATCAGTGGCGGATTGAAACAATTGATATTAGGAGCGCACATATCAATTCAGACCACCCATCTACATTTTAAACACTACCACTACCGCCAAGGGTGCCGGCAGGGGGGAGATTGGCAATGCCCCTCCACGATATTTTCTGGCCACTATAGAAGAAAAAAATCTGGGGGGGGAGTAAATAAATAATCAGTATATTATATTAGGTATATAGTATATTATATTATATTATTATTATTTATATTTATAAAATAAGTCTATATAGTTTCAAAATTAACAATAAATATAAAATAAAAATTGCACTTTTTGAAATAAAAATTATAAAATAATACCTAAAAAATATATTATCTAATAATCAAACAGCGGGTTACCATTACCTAGCTATAATAATAAAATTAAAAACTAAAAATACAACAAATAAATGTAGATTCATCCGTATTTTGTATTCTGTATAAAAAATGCATTTTTTGAAATACCTAGGAATTAGATATAATAATAAAACAGGAGGTTACTTACCTTCTTCTTCTACTTCATCAGCTTGTCAGCCCATTAAGAGCCATCGCTGCCATTACATAACCTCTCTATTTCTACCTATCATATGCATCGTCAAAAACCGAGCCCTCTTTTATGTCTTTGATGTTTTGAGCCACGACATCCAACTATCGGGTCCTTGATCTACCTAATGGACGTTTTTTGTTAATTTTGTTAACTAGAACTTCTTTCAACACTTGTCCATTTGCTCTTCATACGTGACCAAACCATTCTAGACGTTTGCTTTTTATAAATGAAATAATATTTGGCTTATTATAAAGCTCCTGTAGCTTATGATTACTTTCTTTAGGAGGTTACTTACCTACCTATAATAATAAAATATTAAATTAAAAATATAACAAACTAGCTGAATTACCCGTCGTTGCCGGATTTAAGTATATAAATATATGTAACCTGCCAAGATTAAATTTTGTTAAATCTATTGAAATTTAAATTAATTAAGATTTTTGAAATAATATTTTATACATATTAATTTAGTTTTTAAGATAATGATTATTATCATAATCTATTCGATAAGTTATAGCTTACAACTACCTGAACCTCTCTACAGTTTGGTATT